TTATTACATGTTTTGTGGTTGTTTCTTAAGATTTTCTTTGAACCTTTATCATCTTTCTCTTTCACGGTCTGATTTTCTTAACTGGTATCTTTGAATTTCTTTGCCTTTATTTTTTGCATGTTTATTGGTGGTTTTTGATAGATCGTTATACCATTAGGTTTGTATATAACATCTGCATACAGCAGTCTATATTAAGTTCATGGTTGTTTAAGTTTGAACCCACTCTTTTCTTCTCTCCTCCCCACATTTTAGGTATATGGTGTCATATTTTATACCCTCTTTCGTGAGTTCCTGGACTGATTTTTTACAGAAACATTCATTTTTACTGCATTTATGTTTCCTACCTTTATACTATCACTTTTGGTATCCCCTTTCCACTCAGAATTCCCTTAAATATTTCTTGTAGAGCTGCTTTAATGGTCATGCATTCCTTTAGTTTTTGTGTGTCCGGGGAACTCTTTATCTCTCCTTCTATTATGAATGACATCATTGCTGGACAGAGTATTCTTGGCTGCATATTTTTCCCATTCAGCATGCTAGGTATATCATAACACTCCCTTCAGGCTTGCCAGGTTTCTGTTGCAAAATCTCCTGCTAGCCTTATGGGTTTTCCTTTGTACATTACTGACTTATTTTGTCTTGCTGCTTTTAAGATTTTTTTTCTTCAACACTGTATTTTGGAAATTTAATCACAATATGTCCTGATGTAGGCCTGTTTTTGTTGATTTTGATGAAGAGTTCTCCGTGCCTCCTGGATCTGGATGTTTGTTCCCTTCCTTCCTTCTCTCTCTTTGTCTACTAGAACTCCTATAATACCAAAGTTATTACATTTAACGGAGTCACTGAGTTGCCTAAGTCTGCTCTCGTTTTGCATAATTGAACTGCTTTCAATTACTATGCCTTCATCATTCATTAATTCTTCTGCTTCTTCCAGCCTGCTGTTCACTGCATCAAGTGTGTTTCTAATCTTGTTTATTACACTCTTCATCTCTGATTCTTTAACTCTTTTATCTCTGTGGTAAGGGTGCTACTGATGTCCTCCATTCTTTTCTCAAGTCCAGTGACTATCTTTATGATTGCTACTCTAATTCTCCATCAGACATGTTATTTACATCTATTTTGCTTAGATCTCTGGTCACGGCCTTATCTTGTTCTTTCATTTGGGACAAATCCCTGGTCTTCTCATTTTGTCTAAATCTCTGTCTGCTTCTGTGTGCTAGAAAAGCCAGTTATGGGGCGCCTGGGTGGCTCAGTCGGTTAAGTGTCTGACTTCAGCTCAGGTCATGATCTCGCAGTTTGGGTTTGAGCCCTGCATCGGGCTCTGTGCTGACAGCTCAGGGCCTGGAACCTGCTTTGGATTCTGTGTCTCCCTCTCTCTCTGCCCCTTCCCTGCTCGCTTGCACTCTATCAAAAATAAACATTAAAAAAAACTTAAATTAAAAAAGGAAAAAGAAAAGCCAGTTATCTCTCCCGCTCTTGAGAGTTATGGCTTCATGAAGAAGAGGTCATATAGTGCCCAAGGCCTGGCACTTCAGGGTGTGTGTGCTGTGTGTGCTGTGTGTGCTCTGCTGCTCTGTTCTGGTTGCTCTGTCCTTGAGGCCAGTTGTCTGCAGAGGCGCTCCTTGCCTGCTATGGGCAGAGTTTAGTCCCTGGCCTAAATGTGGTGAGTTTTAGCCAGTTTTGCTTTGATCTGCTTGTGAAATGGGACCTCCACTGGAACTGAGGCCTTGCAAAACTCTCTGGTTGGGAGACGTGGTACGGGCAAGGGTTTGTGCTACCCTTCTGGCACAAAGCGGCTGCCACAATGCGGCTAAGGTAAGCATGATCGAGAAGGGCAGTCCCACCAGAGCACACGGGGGTGGGGCTTGGCGTACACAGGTTAGGCAGCCGGTATCTTCCCACAGGTGGCTCTGTGTTTATGCTGAGGGGCTGGGGAGAGACGGTGCCAGCCAGCTACTCTTGTTCTCGGAGAGGTCTCTCCATGAATGGGGTCTCTCTGGGCTACACTCCAAGAAGAGCAAATAACCTCCCCATTGTGTGCCCCACGGGCTCTTCAGATCACTGTTTCCATGTCATCTATCTCCAGGCTGTTGGCCTGCCTTCTCTCCAAGAGCAGCGCAGTGCCCTCCAGGTTCTATTTCCCACTGACCTTTAAAAGTCCAGTCTTCAAGCTCTGCTGGTTCCAAGAACTCACAAAATTTAGTCCCTCTTGTTTTCTAAGCCAATGGCTGTGGGGAGATGTTCTCTTATGAGTTCCCTTGTGTGCTCCTCTCTCTCTCACCGTTCTCCATGACCATGGCTCCCTCCCTTCGGCAGCAGCCAGGATTCGTTTCTCCCCAAACCAGGTCTCTGCACTTCCTACCTTCTTCAATGTGACCTCTTCTCTCTAATTGTGGAGTCTGTTCTGTCAGTCTTCAGGTGAATTTCTGGGGTATTTTGTCAGATTTGATAGTTATCTAGTTGTATTCACGGGATGAGCTGAGCCTAGGGTCCTCCTACTCCACTGCCATCTTCCTATTTCTAGCATCACTTCATTTAAAAAAAAAAATTTTTTTTAACATTTATTCATTTTTGAGAGACAGAAAGAGACAGGGCATGAGCGGGGAAGGGGCAGAGGGAGGGAGACACAGAATGTGAAGCAGGCTCTCAGGCTCTGAGCTGTCAGCACAGAGCCTGATGCGGGGCTGGAACCCACGGACTGTGAGATCATGACCCGAGCCGAAGTTGGACGCTCAACCGACTGAGCCACCCAGACGCCCCTAGCATCACTTCATTTTTTAACGTACAGACTGAAAACTCAAAACAGCCTGAGACTCTTTACTTTTTAAGCATGAACAGAATATCCCAGATTTACTTCCAAGAACGTGAGAAGTCTGAGAACATGGACTACGTCTTTTACTTTTACCCTATTACGTATTTAATAATTAGCTACCTAATATTTTAGCCCATTTCTAAATAACAGCTTTTATGTAAAGTGACTTGCTTGCATTCCTGATTTCTTCTGCACATTTCACTTGAATGTGAAAAGTCTAAAATGATGGTTTTGTGGTATCACCTGAAAACTTTCACCTTCATCCTTTCTACTAACCCTTTCCAGAGTTTGCCTTTAAAGCTTATTTCCTTTACTACTAAAACTTATTTCCTTACTTCTCATTCCATCTGAACCCATCATGTCTGTCACTAGAAAAAATTAGTTGTCTAGGAACTCTGGCTTTGGCCAGATCATCTTTGTTTTCTGTAAAGTCATTTTCAGCAACAGCTTAATTATAAGTTTGATTACATAATAATGTAGTTGCAAATGAAGAGTCAGTTTTTTTTTTGTTTTGCCACCACCAGTTCTAAGTAGTTAAGAGTCATAATTTTTGATATTATTTTTTTAATTTTTTAATGTTTATTTTTGAGAGAGAGAGAGACAGAGCGTGAGCAGGGGAGGGGCAGAGGGAGAGGGAGACACAGAATTTGAAGGAGGCTCCAAGCTCTGAGATGTCAGCACAGAGCCCAATGCGGGGCTCAAACCCCTGAACAGTGAGATCATGACTTGAGCCGAAGTCGGCGCTTAACCGACTGAGCCACCAGGTGCCCTGACATTATTTTTTTAAGTTTTATTTTGAGAGAGAGAATGTGCGTGCATAAGTGGGGGAGGGGTGGCGGTGAGAGAGAGACAGAGAGACAGAGACAGAGACAGAGAGAGAGAGAGAGAGAACCCTGAGAAGGCTCCATAATATCAGCACAGAGCCTGATGCAGGGCTCAGACCCACAAACTGTGAGATCATGGCCTGAGCCCAAACCAAGAGTCAGATGTTTAACCAACTGAGACACCCAGGTGGCCCCGTAATTTTTGGTATTATAAGCTTGGCTAAAAATTACAATGATTTTGCTTTAGAAATGTAGACTTGATAACAAGGACACAAATTAACCATTAATGAATCATTAACTGTTTGGAACACAACCACATTTCCACAATTTGGGCATTTTCGTTTAGATATGCATTTAACGGTCACATTCATAAGCCAAAGGTGAGTGAACACAAGAGTTCTGTAGTTAGGCCTTTATCAAAATACTTGAGTCATCTGGGTAAGATCTCTTGCAGTGTTTATTCACTTCTGATTTTATTTAAGATGGAGGGTATGAATCTGCCGTAAGGTAGGAAAACGGAAAATGATGTTTGAAGAACCAAAATAAGAGTATAAGAAACTAAAATTCCCACCAAATGACTGGTCTATAGATACATAAAGAAACTAGTTGTTTTCATGCAAATTAAGCATCCATGATGTGCCAGAAAGAACCAAAAGGTTGAAAAGTAAATGTAAAAAGTGAAGCCACCTATTTTCATTACAAAATAAAGTCCCTATTGGATTCAACTTTCTTCATGTTTTATAAAAATATACACACTTTTACAAATGCCAGAATCGCTTAATGAAATAATGTGAAAGTTACTAAGGTGATTATTCCAAATTAAATCCTAAGAGCTTAAAGAATAGTTGATAATATGAAACTGTGACCATTTAAGGTTCTTACGGTGCCATGTGTGAATCAGTCTGTGGTATACGAAAGAAAGTGATGGCACATCTTCAGGCTCGAAATTCTTCTCCGGGCCGTCTGTTTCTTAAAATAATCGCAAACAGCAATTTTGGTCTTACAAAGGAATTCTTATAGCTAGTGAATGAGTTCCTTCAGTTTTTTTAAGGACCAACTGTCTTAGAATAACCTTTTCTTTTCTTTCCTTTTCTTAGAAACACCAGTTTTCAATGAAGCCGTGGAAGGTGGACACGGGCTACTTGTTGCATTGGGGAAAAGAGGAACAGTTGAAAATATACAAGAATACGGATCAGTAATAAATAACAGGTCAGTAATAAAATTATGCTTCTCAGGGAAAGTTATTTGTCAAAGCGATAAAACAAGGGGGAAAAAAAACCCACGTTAGTAGCCTTGCGGAATTCACGCCAACTTGGCCGTATGTCTAAAATCACCCACAAAAACACACTGAAATGAGTACTCACCACTGAATGATTTCCGTGATTTGAGCTTCCCAATGCGCAACCGATTCTTTCTTGTCTGCCAGGTCTTTCACCTCCTCTTCTAACTGCTGGTTGCGTATACTTAAGTTCTCATACAAGGTGGTGAGCTGAAAGGCAGTTTTAAGACACGTGTGACTTTTGCGAACAGGAATGTAAGGTGCCCAGACGCCTCTTGTTAAATTTGATAACTCACCATATTCCGCTAAACACTGATGGTCTTCCTGATTTCTTATTAGACACCCTTCTGGTCACTGAATTTGGAAACATCGAATATTTTCTCTTCCTGCCTTTGCTTTTCCCCTACTCCTTGTGCTAAACTGCTTCCCTCTGCAAACCTCCAGTTGCCTGAAAACTCCCCAGGTTCCACTGATAACAACATCTCTTGGTTTTTTTCTTGATCTGAAAATCTCTATGTCATCCTTTTTAAAAAATAGAATCTTATAAAGAATTTCAAGCATATGTAAAAATGGGACAGTGTAAGTTAATTCCCATGAGCCCACACCCAACATCAACAATTATCACCTCGATGCCATTTTATTTTTTAAACATTTTTTAAATCTATTTTTGAGGGGCGCCTGAGTGGCGCAGTCGGTTAAGCGTCCGACTTCAGCCAGGTCACGATCTCGCGGTCCGTGAGTTCGAGCCCCGCGTCGGGCTCTGGGCTGATGGCTCAGAGCCTGGAGCCTGTTTCCGATTCTGTGTCTCCCTCTCTCTCTGCCCCTCCCCCGTTCATGCTCTGTCTCTCTCTGTCCCAAAAATAAATAAAAAATGTTGAAAAATCTATTTTTGAGACAGAGAGAGACAGATCATGAATGGGGGACGGTCAGAGAGAGGAAAACACAGAATCGGAAACAGGCTCCAGGCTCAGCTGTCAGCACAGGGCCCGACGCGGGGCTCGAACTCACAGACCGTGAGATCATGACCTGAGCTGAAGTAGGAGGCTTAACCGACTGAGCCACCCAGGCGCTCCCGATGCCATTTTATTTGTATCCTGTCTTCTTCCTCCCTCCTCCTGTATTATTCTGCAGCAAATACCAGACACCTATAATTTTACATATATATTTCTGTGTATATCTCTTGCAAATAAGGCCCTCTCTTTGAAAATATAAGCACAGTGTTATTAAATTTAACAAGTTTCCTTATTATCATCACATAGGTAGTAACTTCAAATTTCCAGTTACCTCGAAAGATCAAAACACGTTAACAGTTTATTAAACTGAATCATGTTGCCAACAAGTAAACACAGATTAATGTTCCCTATGTCCTTTAAGTCTCTTTTATTTATACCAGGGACCGGGTGGTTTAAACGGGAGACATTTATTTCTCACAGTCCGGAGGCTGGAGAGTCCAGGATCGAGGTGTCAGCAGATTCAGGGTCTGGTGGGGCTGCCGCTGCTGGGTTCACAGATGGCGGTCTTCTGGCTGCCTCTTTATGAGGTGGGAGGCCTGAGAGGGGTCTCCGGGGTCGCTTTCATAGGGATAATAATCCCATCATGAGGGTTCCACCCTAGGCATTAACCACGACCCACAGGCAGCACCTCCTCATACTATCGTATGAGAGGTTACGTTTCAACATGGGGATTTTGGAGGGACGTAAACATTCCAGTCTATGGCAGCTCCCCTCCAGAACTTTTACTTTTCTTGTAATTTATTTGTTGAAAAAAGTAGGTTGTTGGTCTTGCAGAGTTTTGAAGTCTCAATTTCTGCTTTCATTTTTGAAAGATTTTTTTTTTTTTTGGATGTATAGAACATTCTAAGTTGGCAATAATCATCCTCCAGCACTTTGAAAATGTCATTCCTTTTTATTCCCTGTTTTTATTCCTGTTTGATTTCATTTTTTTCTGTTGGGAAGTCAGCTTTCGGTTTAACTTTTACTCGTTTGAATATAATGTGACTTTCTGCTCTGATTGCTTTTAGGATTTTCTTTAGCTGCAAGTTTTTAGTCGATTTTCTCTGATGTCCCTAAGTGGGTTTTAGTTTCTATGTATCACGTTTAGGGTTTGTGGCATTTCCTGAATTTGTACGTAAATGTTTCTCATAAGGTTTGGAAAATTATGGGCCATGTACTCTTCACATACTGTTTTTGCCAGTCTCTCTGTCCTCTCCATCTGGGAAAGCAAATATTTGTACATCAGATCTTTATACCATGTCCCCTAATTTCTGTCCTCTTCTAGGTATTTCCATCCTTTCTAATCTCTACCCATACTTTAGCCTGGAATTTTTTTTTACTTATCCACTCTTTTCTTTGGCTCTTTCCAATCTGCTGTTAAAATCTTCTATTGGGTATTTCGGTTATTTTAGTTTTTACTTCTAGAGGTGCCACCTGACTCTTTTGTATACATTCCAGTTGTCTGCTGAAATTCATCACATTTCCTATTTTCTATCATACAGTTATTTTAAATTTTCATTTATGAAAATTCTCATGGGAATCTCTGCGGGTTTATTTATATGGACTGTCTAGTTTTCATTTTTTCTTTCCTTATTTTGTTTTTGCAATATTTTTACTCTTGGTTTTCAGTGATGCAGTTATATCTCCTAGTATGCATGGTAATTGTTTAATGCATGCCACACATTTTATATGAAAATTTTAGAGGTAATTTGAGGCTCAGTATAATATCCCCCTCTTTAGACCCAAGATAGGTCAGGTACTGCAGGCTGGTTTTCAGTCATTGAGAGTGCTCATCTCTCTCCAGTTCACTCTTACTCCTAAAATGTAGCCTTTCAATGAGTCCAAAGAAAGCTTGTATTTCTCTCTCCAAACCTGTGGAATACTGTGCTCAGCTTCCTGGCTCCTCAGCTACTGCTTTCCTATCAGCAAATGCTTCAAGGAAAACCAGCACCGAGTGCTGGGCTCAACGCCCTGCACTGCTCTGCTATGGGATCTTGGTCAGTAAAGAAGGCTGCCCTCTTCACTCTCCAATGCCTTGCTGCAGATAAATACAGTGGGAAATTAAAACAAGTAAAGAATAAATCCAGCTCTTGCGGAGGTGGTGGGTATGATGCAAGCTAATCTGTCCTAGTCAGAAGCAAAAGTTCCTGCTTTAATACATTTTTAAAAATGTATGATAAAATATTTGCATTCAATTTTTATCTCATGGTTACATTTTCTCTCATAAATGGTCTCAAGCTGCGTTAGTTAGTATTCCTTTCTTGCTTTTTGGTATGTTTTACAGAGATACTGTGTTCATTTCCTTTCAATTACTCAACTTGAAGAAGATGAATTTTTCCTAGAAGAGCTATTTACAGGTCTGTGGAGATGAGGGGCCTGGTGATGGTTTAATTGTATGTGCTAACTTGACTGGGCCACACAAGGTACCCACATGTGATCAGGGCGTGTCTGTGACAGTGCCTCTGGATGAGATTAACACTTGAATCAGTAAACTGAATAAAGCAGATTGCCCTCCCTAACATAGTAGGCCCATCCGATCAGCTAAAGCCCCAAAGAACAAAAAGATTGACCCTAGTGAGTCAAACCTCCTCCTGTCTCAATGCCTTCAAGCTGGGATGTTGGTTTCTCCTGCCTTTGGACTCTTACTGAAACAGCAACTCCTCCCGGGTCTCAAGCCCTTTGGACTCAGACGGAAACTACATTGTAGGCTCCCCTGGGTCTCCGGGCTGCAAACTGCAGGTCTTGGGACTTGTCAGCCTCCATAATCAGGTAAGCAAATTCCTTACAATAAGTATCTTTACACATACGTGTGTGTGTGTGTGTGTGTGTGCATGTGTATGTTAGGTTTAGTTTCTAATACAGGCTGAAACCATGTTCTAAGTCAGGGATCTGCAAGCTTTCCAGTAAAGCATTAGATAGTATGTATTTTTGGCTTTGTGGGCTACATGTGGTCTCCATCACATCTTGTTCTTCTTAGAAAAACCTACTTATAAGTGTAAAAACTCTTCTTAGTTCATGGGTCATAAAGAAACAGTCTGAGAGCCGGATTTGTCTACAGGCCACATACGCCAACTTCTCCATCTAAATGTATCAGCAATTCTCCTAATGACCCAGGGTTTTTCTTGCGTGTGTTTTGGCCTATCCTTCTGTGAGAGAGAGACACTTATGACACAACCCAATGTGGTTTCATTTCTTCCACTCTACCAAAGGAACACAGCTGTAATTCCCTGTTTAACCCTATGCCCAACCTCATGGTCTTCTCAGAATGAAATGGGGTCCAGAGAAGCTATCAAGGCCCACGTACACCCTCAGCTGCCTATTAAGAAGGGATTTAAGTTCCGTACCTCAAGGGGTGCCACTTACGTCTGAAAACGTACTTTACCGGCTCTCTTCTTTTTACAGATTTACTGAGGTATAATTTACCTGTAATGAAACTCATCCGTTACAAGTGTATGGTTCAAAGATTTTTAATAAATTTAAGCAGTCGTGCAACAATCACCACAATCCCGTTTTGGAACACTTCTAGTACGAGAAATTTCCCCAGTGCTGGTTTGCAGTCAATCCTGGCTCCCACCCTGAGTTCCAGGCATCACGGATCTGTTTTCTGCTTCTCTGGTTTTGCTTTTCTTAGCAATTTAATACCTCATCATATTATTGAGGTTCAACCACAGTGTTGCACGTATCAGAAATCCATTCCTTTCTACAGCTGAGTAGTAGACTATCATATGGATAATAGGAAACCTTATTTGCCTGTTCATTAGTTGGTGGGCATGTGTATTGTTTCCAGTGGTTTGCTTTTGGGAAGAATGGTGCTATGCACATTCACATACAAGTCTTTAAAACGGCTCTGTTTTTAATTCTCTTACATAAGTAAGTAGGAAAATTTCTGGGTCACGTGGTAAGTGTATGCTTAACTTTCTGAGAACTTTTGAAACTGTTTCTAAAGTGGCTCTCCCACCTTCCACGCCTGCAAGCAGCGTGGGATTTTCAGTTCCCCCACGTTCTTGCCAACAGCAGGTATGGTCATTCTTATGGATTCTGTCCATTCTTGAGGGTGTACAGCTGCACGTGACCGTGGTTTTAACTGGCGTTTTCCTGACCACAATGAACATCTGTGCACAAGCTGATCTGCCATTCATAGGTCTTTCATGAAATGTCTGTTCAAAAACTTTCCCCATTTTTTTCAATGGGTTGTTTGTATTTCTTTCTTATTAACGAGTGTTAAGAGTTCCTTCTCCATTTCGAGTATGTTTCTTCTGCAAATGTGTCTTTCGCCCATTAACGGGGGTCCATCTCTCCACTCGTTCAGACATTCCTTCACTTATCTCAGCAATGTTTCGGAGCGGTCTTCCTCCCCTTACTTCCCAGAGCTCCGAAATCATTGTTTTTGACAATCGTGTCCACCTTGAAATGTTTCTTTTCTTGAGAGGATTCATCAATCTCTTCATGTTAGCCTAGCCAGAAGTCTACCAGCTGTTTCTGAAATTTCTTCTGGCAGATGCAACGTCTTCGCTAATTCCTACAACACACCTTTTTTGACAGCCCTTCCAACTAATTTGTGAGTGACGTCAACTAGATGTTTGCAGGAAGGAGAGGAAATGCAGATTTTGCACGGCTATGTTACGACACCTACAAGTGGTTTTAAGTAGATTTGTTTGGTATTACTCAGAGAAATACTAATATTTTCATTACTACTGAATAAAAGCATGGACTCTGGAGCCAGATTGCCTGTGTCCAAATTCCGTTTGGCCACTTCCTGGTTCTCTGATTAGGAAAGGAGCTTCATTCCCTCTGCCTCAGTTTCCTCATCTATAAAATGGCAAGAATAATTGGGTACACCTCACAGAGCTTTTGTGAGGATAAAATGATTTATATAAAGTAACTCATTAGTACATTCTACCTAAGGGTCTGTTCATTTTGCTTCTTTGGAAATGAGAAGGTTTTGCTATTTGTACATTGACATATTTGGCTTATAGTAATTATAAGACTACATAAGAATATGGAAACAGGCTCAGGACATTTTAAGTGAAAAGGCAGATGAGAAAATGGAATGTATATATGACTGCACTTACGTAATAGTATATATATAAACAAAATCTGGAAAGGAACATATAAAATTACCATAGTTGTTTTGTGGTGAGATCATGGGTTAACTTTTATGTTAAATATATTCCACGTTTTTTATAATTCTGTTTTTTTGTAAAATAGTGTGATTTAAAACCAAGACAAAAATAATATTTTTCCTGACTGGAAAATCATTTACTTTCACTTCCTAACATATATGGCTAATTTTATTTGCCATAAATTATCTTTAAAAGAAAATTTTTTTTATGTTTATTTTTTTGGGGGAGAGAGAGAGAGAGAGAGAGGTCAAGCAGGGGAGGGGCAGAGAGAGAGGGAGACACAGAATTCAAAGCAGGCTCCAGGCTCCGAGCTGTTGGCACTGAGCCCGATGTGGGGCTCGAACTCATGAACTGAGAGATCATGACCTGAGCCAAAGTCGGAGACTTAACCGACTGAGCCACCAAGCCGCCCCTGTAATAAATTTAGCAGACTTCTGAAAATATCAACACACTTTCTTTTGATTTCCTTTAAAATTTTAATTTTTAGAGTTTAAAACTGTGCATGTGAGAATCTCTTCATGAGATTAATTATGTAAGTTTGAAAATTAACCTAAGAGTTGCCTTCTGGCTTCTATACCAGAAGTTCTGTTTGAATCCCTTCACTGGGTTCCAGATGGAAGGGCTGGAACAACAATGGCAAAAGTACTCTGGTTACTCCTCCTGGCAAAAATATACAGTTCGAACCAAACCAGAAAATGAACGAACAGAAGAAACAGTGCTCAGGTAGGTGAACCGACAGTTAAGGAGGAAGAAAGCAAAGGCTGAATAAAAAGAGCAAAAATTGGGAAGGGGCTTAAATGGTAGCAGAACCCAGGTCTGTCTCTACTGCTCCAGGAATGAATATTTCCTTGTTATCATTTGTCGTTAAATATTTGCCCTCAGAGGAGCGCCTGGGTGGCGCAGTCGGTTAAGCGTCCGACTTCAGCCAGGTCACGATCTCGCGGTCCGTGAGTTCGAGCCCCGCGTCGGGCTCTGGGCTGATGGCTCAGAGCCTGGAGCCTGTTTCCGATTCTGTGTCTCCCTCTCTCTCTGCCCCTCCCCCGTTCATGCTCTGTCTCTCTCTGTCCCAAAAATAAATAATAAAAAAAAAAGTTGAAAAAAAAAAAATTAAAAAAAAAAATATTTGCCCTCAGAGTTCTACTCCTATCCTTCATCAGAGCTTTCACGTTAGTAAGAAAAGGTAACATTCTATTTTTACAAGCTTCGGGGACAAGCTTTTATTTTTATCCTTCACATCTCATCAAAATCCAAAGAGTATTGCTTAAAAATGAAATATGTGTTTCTCGTAAACTCAACAGAACTTTATGGTTAGTGATGAAAAAAACCAAGGAGTGAATACAAGATTTGATCTACATTCAATTTGATTGTTTCTCAGTATAATTTTTCTTGAACTGTATACATTTTCTACTAGAAACTACATGAAGAGGCCTTCTAGAGTTTAATTACATTTCTTACCTCAAGGTAACTCGTAAGAGAATCTTAAATTCTGTCTTATAGACAGAAATAGTGTTTTATTTTACAGTCGTTATTAGTCAACACATGAAAAAAACAATTATGTGACTTAAATTTTATGGGGATAAAATTCAAATGTGATTAGTTTTATTTAAATGGAAATAACGAAAAGTCACACGGTAACTTTCACATGCTCTCTGTACTCTTAACAAAACACTCATACTACCTTTGGGCCACTTCCCACAGAGTTTGTGTACATTCTTTCTCAAGTAGTTTTCAACCGAACAAGCAAGGTCATTTTTAAATGTGTAAAAAACCAAACAGTCATGGGGTAAGTAGTGAAAGATACGGAACGCAGTGGAAAACAGAACAAAGAGCCTCTCTTTTATGACTATTTAGTCATGGGCTTTCAATTCATGACTCTTTCAGTCATGGTCATTATTAGTTACTGGAATAATTAATAGTTGAACAAAATATTTTTACGGGAGGAAAATCCTAGAAATCACTATAAAATACAATTACCCAAACGTTCTCATTTAAATGTAAATATGATTACTAAAACATGTGGATAATATTAGGATTTTTACAACTGTTTGTTAGGAACTGACAAAAGAAATGCAAAAGGATGGCAGTTCAAAAAATCTGAGCTACTAAATGGAAAAACATTCCCTTTATGTATTTGAAATTTCGTTCATAAATCTGGCTGAGTCTAAGTTTAATCTATGGTTCTGTTCTTTACTTGAGCTACAGAATTTCGGTGGAGCTTCGCTTCTTTTTCTCTTCTTTTCTTTTCTTTTCTTTCTTTCAGTATTTATTTACTTATTACATATAGAGAAAGAGATTGAGAGAGTGAGCAGGGGAGGGGCAGATAGAGAGGGAGACAGAGAATCCCAAGCAGTCTGCACGCTGTCAGCACAGAGCCCGGTGCGGGGCTCAAAACCACAAACTGTGAGATCATGACCTGAGCCGAAGCCAAGAGTCAGATGCTTCACCGCCTGAGCCCCCCGGGCGCCCACAGGCAGAGTAGGTTTCTCTGGATTCCTACCCACCAAGGATATTATTTCTAGCTACAGGTAGTTCTCCACCATGAACATGAAATCATGGTTGTCAAACCCGCCCCAGTTTGGCCTAATTGTTCCTGCTCTTGCCAAGGGCCAGCTTAACTTCGGCAGCCATGACAGAGTTAAGGGACAAATATGAGAGGAAAGAGTAAAAAGAGAACAGATGGAAAGTGAAAGAAAGAAAAGAGGCTCAAAAAATAAGAGGGATGAAGAAGAAGAGGGGATAAGGAAAGCCGTATCCAGAGCCCCCACACGGACGGGTGGAAGGAAGCCCCGCCTGCACCCCACAAGTAATCCTTGTGTATAAGGAGGGGTGCTAAGTCTGAGTTGTGCCAAGTAGAAGACCGGGCTCAATTTCTGTCACCGTGCTGGACGTCCAGAACCTGCTCAAGGAGGGGAGATCAGATTGCAGCACTCACCTTATCAAGTTCACTTGTCAGTTTCTTATTTTCTTCAGTTAACAACACTTTTTCTCTTTCGTACTGTTGTTTGAACTCGTTTTCAAATTCTTCCCTTTCACTTTGACTAACACAATTCAAAACAGAAGACGAAAAAAAGGAATTGAGTCAGAGGTGAGACGACTTCCCAGACTGGCTGCTGTTCCTCATTTTACTCTGAAAAGTCGCACCATCTTGAAGGTGCCAAGTCCCAATCCTCCCCCTTAAAATTAAAAGTCACAATCATTTCCTTTTAATTAATAGATCTGTCTGCCCAACATCTACTTTGTTTTTCATTTGAAACTCTGAGGAAGGCATCTGCGATCTGTAGTCATCATGATTGTGCTCACATTATGTGGCTGCACACAGACCACAAAGTACGGGCAAAGGTGGAGGTCAGGGAAAGAGGGGGACAGTGGGCGCCACATGATTCCTTCTCGGCTTGAGAGTGCTAGCAAACCCTCAGTGCCATTTCCAACAGTCCTCTCAATGTATTCAGGCCTTCCTCTCAGCCCTTCCTTCCTTCTTCCTTAAGTACGTACCTATCTACATACACACATATGCATGCACACACAAAAAATTTAATATTGTAAAACTTATTCATTTATGTTTATTTATTATTTTTGAGAGAGAGAGAGAGACAGACAGACAGACAGACAGACAGCGTGGGCGGGGGAGGGGAAGACAGAGAGGGAGACACAGAATCCGAAGCAGGCTCCAGGTTCCGAGCTGTCAGCACAGAGCCCGATGCGGGGCTCGAACTCGCGAATTGCGAGATCATGACCTGAGCTGAAGTCAGATGCTTACCCACCCAGGCACTCCTATACAACTTATTTAAAGAGATAGTTCTGAGGGGCACAAGTGATTCACCCTTAGAGGCAAAAAGAGTTCTAACAGACTTTGTACAAAACACCAAAGAGAGAAAGGGGAATCAGTGTTCAAACATGGAGTTGCTATACAGATGAAGATCTATCTATCTATTTTTTGTTGTTGTTGTTTAGAGAGAGCACAAGCACAAGTGTGTGTGAAGGGGAGAGAGGCAGAGGGAGAGACAGAATTTTAAGCAGACTCCACACTGGGCATGGAGGGCACCCAGATGCCCCAAAGAGGCTTATTCTAAACAACCAATGGGTCCATGAGTAAATAAAAAAGAAATAAATTCATCAAAAAATACATGGAGACAAAGGACAATGAAAACGCAGTGGTCCAAAATCTTTGGGAGACAGCACAAGTTCTAAGAGGGAGCTATCCAGTAATAAAGGCTAACTGAACAAACAAGAAGCTCAAGTAAACAATCTAACTTTTTACCTCAATTAGAAAAAAAGACAAATGAAACCCAAAGTGGGTAGAAGGAGGGAAATAAAGAAGATCAGAGGAGAAATAAATGACACAGAGGGGCGCCTGGGGGGCTCAGTTGGTTAAGTGTCTGACTTTGACTCAGGTCATGATCTCACAGCTCGTGGGTTTGAGCCCCGTGTCGGGCTCTGTGCTGACAGCTCGGAGCCCGGAGCCTGCTTCAGATTCTGTGTCTCCCTCTCTCTCTGCCCCTCTCCCCCTTATGTCTCTCTCTCTCTCTCAAAAATAAATAAACATTAAAAAAATTAATAAAAAAAGAAATAAATGAAATAGAGATTAAAAAAAAAAACAAAAAAACAACAATGAAACCAAGAACTGGTTCTTTGAAAAGATAAAACAGAATTGATAAACGCTTACCCAGACTCATCAATAAAAAGACCCAAATACATTAAATCAGAAACAAGAGAAAAACTGACACTACAGAAATACAAAGAATCAAGAGAATTCTGTGAAAAATTATATGCCAACAAATTGGACAAACTAGCAGAAATGGATTAATTCCTAGAAATACACAATCTTCTAAACTGTATCAGGAAGACACAAAAAATCTGAATAGACCAATTACTAGTAACAATATTGAATCAATAATCAAAACACCACCAAAAAATAAAAATCCAGGACCAGATGGATTAACATGTGAATTCCACCAGACATTTAAAGAAGAGTTAATACCTGTTCTCCTCAAACTATTCCAACAAACAGAAGAGGACAGAAAACTTTCAAATTCATTCTATGAGGCCAGCATTACCCCATTACCAAAACCAGACAAAGACACCACCAAAAAGAAAAGGAAAAGGAAAAGGAAAAGGAAAAGGAAGAAAGGAAAGGAAAGGAAAGGAAAGGAAAGGAAAAGATAAAGAAAGAAAGAAAGAAAGAAAGAAAGAAAGAAAGAAAGAAGAAAACCACAGGCCAATATCCTTGATAAACATAGATGCAAAAATATTCAACAAAATATCAGCAAACTGTAGTCAACAATACATTAAAAGGATCATTCACCATGATCAAGTGGGAGTTATTCTGGAATATAAGGGTGGTTCCATATTCACAAATCAGTCAACATTATATACCACATCAACAAAATGAAGGATAAAAATTGTATGATTATCTTAAAGGACGCAGAAAAGGCATTTGACAAAATTCAACTACCCATTCATGCTAAAAACTTTCAGCAAAGCAGGTTTAGAGGGAATATATCTCAACATAATAAATGCCATATATGAAAAACCCACAAATAACATCAAATGCAATGGTGAAAAATTGAGAGCTTTTCCCCTAAGGTCAGGAACAAGACAAGGATGTTCATTCTCACTATTTTGATTCAGCATAAATAATACTGGAAGTCCTAGCCACAGGAATCTGACACACACACACACACACACACACACCACAGAAAAGAAGACAAGGGAAGGGAAGGGAAGGGAAGGGAAGGGAAGGGAAGGGAAGGGAAGGGAGAAGAGAAGAGAAGAGAAGAGAAGAGAAGAGAAGAGAAGAGAAGAGAAGAGAAGAAAGGAAAAGAAAAGAAAAGAAAAGAAAAGAAAAGAAAAAAGAAAAGAAAGGAAAAGATGTAAGAGGCACCCATACTGGCGAGGAAGAAGTTAAACTGTCACTGTTTGCAGATGACATGATACAATACATAGAAAACCCTAAAGACTTCACTAAAAAAAAAAAAACTACCAGTAGTAACAAATGAATTCAGCAAGGTTGCAGGATACAAAATTAAAACCCAGAAGTCAGTAGTATTTCACTAACACACTAATAACAAAGTAGGAGAAACAGAAATTAAGAAAACAACTGCTTTTACAATTATACCAACAAGAATAAATAAATACCTGGGAATAAACTTAACCAAGATGGTGAAAGACCATTTTGTACAAATGCTAATCTGTACTCTGAAAACTAGGACGGATGCTAAAGATGACACAAATGGAAAGATATCCTATGTTCATGGATTGGAAGAATTAATATTGCTAAAATGTTCCTACTAGCCAAAACAATCTATAGTTCAGGGCAATCCCTATGAAACTGGCAACAGCATTTTTCACAAAACTCGAACAAATACTACTAAAATTTGTACGGAACCACAAAAGACCCCAAGTAGCCAAGGCAATCTTGAGGAAGAAGAACAAAGCTGGGGGTGTACTACAAGATTTCAAGCTGTGCTACAAAGCTGTAGTGATTAAAACAGTTTGCTACTGGCACAAATACAGACACCTAAATCAATGGAACAGAGATCCCAGAAATAAACCCAAGCTTACATGTTCAATTAATCTATGACAAAGGAGGCAAGAACATACAATGGGGAAAAGAAGGTCTCTTCAATAAATGGTGCTGGGAAAACTGGACAGCTGCATGCAAAAGAATGAAACTGGGCCACTTTCTCACACCCTACACACAAAAAAACCATCAAGGTGAGACCTGACAAAAATACTAACAGAGAGCACAGGCAGTACTTTCTCTGACACTGACTGGCCATTGCAACATTTTTCTAGATATGTCTCCTAAGAAAGGGAAATGAAAGCAAAAATAAACTGTTGGGGCTACATCAAAAGAAAAAAAAAACAAAACTTTTGCACAGTGAAGGAAACCATCATCAACATGAAAAGCCAACCTACTAAATGGGAGAAGATATTTCCAAATGATGTGTCTGATATGGGGTTAATATCCAAAACATATAAAGAACTTACATAATTCAACAACAAAAAACAAAGGAGAAGAGGACCTGAATAGACATTTTTCCAAAGAAGACATCCAGATGGTCAACAGACACGTGAGAAGATGCTCAACATCATTCACCATCAGGGAAGTGCAAATCAAAACCCCAATGAGATATCCCCTTGCACCTGTCAGAATGGCTAAAATCAGAGAGACGACAAGTAAGTGTTGGCAAGGATGTGTAAAAAAGGGGATCCTTGTGCACTGTTGGTGGGAATGCAACTGGTGCAGCCACTGTGGAAAACAGTATGGAGGTCCCTCAAAAAAATTAAAAATAGATATACCGTGTGATCCAGGAATTCCACTATTTACCTACAGAAAATGAAAACACTAATTTGAAAAGATATATGCACCCTTATGTTTACTGCAGCATCATTTACAAAGCCAAGATACGGAAGCAACTTAAGTGTGCGTCAATGGACAAATGGATAAAGAAGATGTGTATACACACGATGGAATATTACACAGCCGTAAAAAGGGACGAGGTCTTGCCATTTGTGGTAACACGGGTGGACCTAGAGGGAATCACGTTAAGTGAGAGAAGCCAAACTGAGAAAGACAAATACCATATGATTTCACTCATATGTACCATCTAAAAAACAAAATGAATAAACAAACAAACGAAAAGCAGAATGAGACCTATAAAAACAGAGAACAAACATGGCTTCCAGAGGGGAGCGGGTGAGGGAAGCAGGGTGGGGGGTACAGGCTTCCACTTATGGAATGAATAAGATAAAGAAATAAAGGGCACAGCACAGGGAATACAGTGATACTGGAACGCTGCTGTGAGGTGACAGATGGCAGTTACACTTGTGGGGAACACAGAGTAACCGATAGAGAAGTTGAATCGCTGTGCTGTACGCCTGAAAGAAATGTAACACTTGAGTATAAGTGTCAACTTATACTTAATAAAAAAATTTGTAAGGAACGCTTTATATCTTAGCAATAAATGAAAGTCAATATGGATCTGTTCTGGGTAATTTCCTATGACTGATCCCGAGTCAACCGAGAACCTACGTACTGGCTGATTTTAAAAATGCGATGTTAAAAATCCCTTCCATTACTACATTAGTGAGTGTAAATGAAATTGTAATTTAAATGCTAACTTCTGGGAAAAGAAACCATTTTTGCTTGTGTGTAAGCAAATATGCTATGTTAAAAAATTATCTATAGTCAAAATATGAAATTCAGTCACGTTTAAGGATCTTTCTTGATTCAGAAGTAACTCCCAGCAATGAACAATGACAAAAACATGACAAAATACAAAGAGGCCTTTCAGAAAAAATGTGTACACAAATAAACGGAGTAAAATTTCTGTGAAATTATTCTTGCTTTTTCCCACCAGCACGAAACAGAGCAGAAGTCTCTTCCATAAGAGAACAGAATGAACAGTCTCCCCTAAGCCCTAGATCACATTTCCTTTTCCAATTCTCTGCCTTCTCGCTCATGGGAGCCGCCCGGAATCCCTGAGTCTGCTGTATCCCTTCCTCATCGCCTGGCTGCTTCTCACCACACAGAATCTGGCATCTGCCGCGCCACCGCCTCAAAACCCTGTTGTCCCACATTTCTGGTTCCAATCGCTCTCCTCCTAGTCTTGGTTCCCGCTGTGGGGTTTTTGCCCCTCCTGTTCCACGGAAATTGTTCTTATCAGAGTTACAACGAGCTTCCTAATGTTAAATTCAATGATCATTGTTTGGGCCTCATCTTACTTAATTCATACCTCATCTTGTTTAACGTATAGAAGACAGACTCGATATGCTTTCATCACATGGTCTCCAGGACACCAAATTAGTTAGGTCTTCTTCCCATCGTCCTTGCTGGCCACTTTGCTGTTTCTTCCTCATTAACCAACTTCCAAAGATCAGAGCACGCCAGGGCTCAGTGCCGGACCTTTGTGCCATCTACACCAACTGCTAAGGGATCTCAACTAGTCTCACTGCTTTAAATACCATGTGAGTGATCTAATACTCCTAGGATTTTATTTCTAGCCTGAAAACCCAGCTGATCTGTCCAACGGCCTGTGTGACATCTCCACGTGGGTGCCTAATACACATCTCAAACGGAACTTGTTTAAAATGAACTCCCGGTAATACTCTCATCCCCAACATGCTTCCCTTGCCCTGTTCCTTTCTAAACGGTAACTACATCCTCCTAATTGCTAAAGCCCCAGACCTCAGCACCATCCTTGGTCCTTCCTCTTCCCTTCTCATCCCACGTCTAAACCATCAACAAAAACCAGTATCTTTACTGTTCAGGAGCACAAGTATTCCAATGTTTCTTACCACCACTTCTGCCCCCACCCTGGGCCAAGTCACCACCCTCCTTTGCCCGGATTTCTGTGACAGCCTTCTCCAGGAGTTCAGGGCTTTTCTCCTCTTATCGAAGTCAGACTTTTTTTTTTTTTTTAATGTTTGTTTATTTTTGAGGGAAAGAGAGAGAGAGGAGAGTAGAGGAGAGGAGAGGAGAGGGGCAGAAAGAGAAGGAGACAGAGGATCTGAAGCAGGCTCTGTGCTGACAGCTCAGAGCCTGACGTGAGGCTTGAACTCACGAGCCATGAGATCATGACCTGAGCTGATGTCAGATGCCTAACCGACTGAGCCACCCGGCTTCTAAGTCACTCCTGACCAGGTAGTCAGAGTAACCCTTTTAAAACACAACCACTGGAGCCTGGAGCCTGCTCGGCTGTGTCTCCTCTCTCTGCCCTCCCCCGCTCATGCTCTGCTTCTCTGTCCCAAAATAAAAAAAAAATAAATAAAAAAAATAAAAAGTTGGGGCTTGGTGGCGAGTCGGGTTAAGCGTCCACTTGTGCCAGGTCACGATCTCGCTGGTCCTGAGTTGAGCCCCGTGATCAGGCTCTGGGCTGATGGCTGGAGCCTGGAGCCTGTTTCCGATGCTGTGTCTCCCTCTCTCCACCTCCCGCTCATGCTCTGTTTCCTTCCTGTCCCAAAAAAAAAAAAAAAAAAAAAAAAAAAAAAAAAAAAAAAACACAACCCAGTATCTCAGCTTCACTCAAACTGCACTTCAAGATCAGTTTTCCTCAGAGTAAATAACCAGACGTGACCTGCTATCACGGATTCTGGCCCCTGTTCCCTCATACCCCTCCTCCCATCTTTCCCCTTATTCACTTCTGCCACACAATTCCTAAACCATTTATCTTAATAGACTTTATTTTTTAGAAAAGTTTTAGGTCCATAGCACAGATTTCCCACCTACTCCTCAGCCTCTCAAACACGGTACAGCCCCCACAACATCACCCCCCGCCAGAGTGGAACATTTGTTACAGTTAGTGAACTTACATCTGGCAGGTCGTTATCACTCCAACTCCACAGCTCACGTTAGGGTCTGGACACGTGTGTAACGGCATGTACCCATCACTGTAGCATCACACCAGGAGACTGCCCTGGACATCCTGCCCTGGCGTCCTCCTGGACATCACATCCGCCCCCCTCCCCCAATCCCTGGCACCCACTCATCTTTTTACTGTCTCCACAGTATTGCCTTCTCATTATTTTTTTTAACAGGCTGTTCTCCACATAGAATGTTCTTCTACATCTGCACAGACGCCCCCACTTTCTTCAGTCCTTCTCATCGCAATTTTTCCAGACCAGCCTATTATACACAATTTCATTGCCCCCTTAATGCCTCATGGCCCCATCCTGTGCTTTATGTTGTTCCTGGCATTTATCATTACCTAACATATTCTATATTTTACTTATTTTGTTTACAGCCCTTCACCTGGCTAAAGGAAAGCTCCACACGGACAGAGATTTGTCTGTCTGTCCACTGCCACGTTCCCAGTGCCTGCAACACTGCTTTACCCACAGCAGGTTCTAAAAAAGTCTGGCTGAGCGAATGTACCAAACTAAATAAACTTTGGCTTCCAATAGAAGTTGAGAATGACAACAGCACACATCCGGCTGCCTAAAATCCTGGCACTTTCTCACACCTGGCCATTATGGCACCCAGGTTCTGGCTCTCCGGGACCTTCTGAGCCCACACGCTTCCCCCCACCTGCCCGGTCAGCACCTGCGGTCCTGCTCATCTCTCGCTGCCAGGTTCCTCCTTGCCATCTGCTCCCGCCTGTCCCACTCCACACGGGACCACGAGTACCGCCCTGTCACCTGCCTTCAATGGCCTCGGCATGAAGTCCAAATTCCTTCCTCCTTCGTGACCTTGCCTCCACTTCCCTCTCCAGCCCTGCTTCTCACCCTCTCATCTGTGGCTCCACCGTAGGGAACAGCCTTCATCTTCGGAACGTGCCCTGTTCCCCTTTCCCTCTCCATCTTGGCACTTAATGGACTCCCTTCCACAGATATTTTCTATTTCTTTGGTCTTGGCTAGAATTTAGTCCAAAAAACCTAGACATACCAAAGTTACCTCCCGTGCCTCTGCGAGGGCTGCACCTGCCCTTTTGCTCACACTTACACCATCCCGCTGGTTTCCCGACCCCCTGTCATCCTCGGATGACTAATCTGGACTTTGGGATACGTGTACTGCCTGTGTATCTCCGGTCCCTGGCACACCGCAGGCATTCGCCAGATACTGACGGGAGGGGTAGATAACTCGATGCTTACCTCTCTCTCCTGTTTTTTTCCAATTTGTCTTTCAAAATCAAAATTTCCTTGTTGAGAGCAAGTTGCTGGCCTTCTGAATCATGAAGTTCTTTCTTCAGGTTTTTAATTTCATTGGCGTGTATTCCTTCTCTTTTAGACAATTCTTCTTCATAAAAGATACTTTTCTTTTCTAAATCAGTCTTTAGTTTGGTGATCTCTTGCTGATGTTCTATGCTGCACAGTCCTGGTGAGTAACTAATTTGTTTTTGCTATAGAAGTAATAACAAAAAATTGGTTCATCTATATGAATAACAAAATGCCAATTATAACATCTTTCTGTAATGCAAAGAACTGTTCATATAACTGAATGTTACTTTTGTACATCATCATATAAAACAACTTTCTTTATTAAGACTATTAACCTTTTGCCAGCCTTATGTTGCAAATATTGTTCTCCGTATATATATTCCCTTATTGTTGTCGTATTTTATAGCCTTCTTCCTACCAAGATTATATATTTATCTATAACTTCCGTTGGCACTTATATAGTTATTTGCTGATATTTAAATTTCTAATTTATACACAATTATTGCTGGTGTATGGAGTGAGAGAAAAATCTAACCACGGCTCATTTCTGATGTGGAACCAATAAAGGATTATGAATATGCAAATGTCTTTAGAAGAGACAAATCTGGGGAAGGGAATGACAAAGCTAGAATGTACACAAAGGAGAGAGAGGGGCTTCTCCAATGGTCCAGGGAGAAGGACAAAGGTCTAATCAAACATCTTCACAACCACTGGAAAAAATGACAGTCTCTTGGCATTTAGGTAGGGCATTAGGGATGAGAAATTTAGCCAAAAGCCACCCTTTTAGAAATTAGGATGAAATGTCTTTTCAGTAATAAGGTGAAAGGAAAATGCAAAGTCCAAAGCTTCTTCCGGACAGTGGCTAAAGGGTAAAGAAAACAGAGATGATGACTGTTTAAGACCTCCTGAGCTTTGTAACTTTTCTACGACTTGGTTATAAGCTATCTATTCTCCCAGGTGTTCAACAATAAACCTTTTAAAACCCAAAGGACCTACGGGTGTACATTTAGTGACAGCAGGGAATCATGCCCTAGAGGACAGTGTCTCTTGTTTTTGAAAACAGTATTAAGGGCAGAAAAACTGTGAACAGTAGTTGATTTAAAGTTGAAAGAAAACTATCCTAACTTCTTCACATTTGAGATACCTACCTTTTTTTCAAAAAAAAAAACCAAAAACACAAAACCAAAGACATCCACTGGGTGGGAGAAATGTCTCTGGGGTATCCACTGGAATATTTAACCATTTACTACAAAACTACTCACGCCGTGCGTGCCTCCCACACGCAAGACCCAGATTCCAGCAGTTTCTGGGGGCAGCCTGGCGCACACCGCGCTGGGGAAACTGGGAAGAGCCGCAGCAAGTCAGATTCTGGCGCGTACGCATCTCCGCAAAAACTATGCCGAGATTGACATCTGCGGCACTGACCGCTTACCTCTTCATTTTCAGAGTCCCCTCAAGAACATTTTGGTCTGCTGCTCTGTTTCGTACAGTTTGCTGTTGACAGAGCAGCAGCACGTGCTGAAGTTTCGAGCAAAAACTACCCTGACATCAAAACCTACCAAAGATGCCACCAAAGAAAGTCATGGGCTCAAGTCACTTGTTGATAAGGATGTCAGGAAAAAAAAAAAAAAAAATCAAATCAAATGCCAATGAAGTAGGGGTGCCTGGGTGGCTCAGTTGGTTGGTCGAGAGTCCGAACTTCAGCTCAGGTCATGATCTCACGGTCTGTGAGTTCGAGCCTGGGTCGGGCTCTGTGCTGACAGCTCAGAGCCTGGAGCCTGCTTTGGATTCTGTCTCTCTCTCTGCCTCTCCCACGCTCATGTTCTCTCTCTTTCTCTCTCTCCCCAAAATATATAAATATTACAAAAAAAATTTTTTAATGCTGATGAAATGAAACCGTATATAAAAAAGACACTATCTACCACAAAAGAACACGTCTTCTTGCAGGTACTGAAGGTAATTTAATATTAGTAAATTTACTAGTAAATGCAAAAAAATTGCATTACTTTAATGGATTCCATTAAAATAAACCCATATGATAATCTCAGTAGGTACCCATGCCCAAATGTTATTTGATAAAATCCAATACCAATTGCAAACACCACCCCAAGTCCCATGATAAAACAAAAAACAATAAAGTAATTCTCCTACCTTAAAAAGTGCCCCCTTTTCAGCTATCAGACAAAGTAATACCTACTGGTGAAGCACCAGAAATACAAAGATTTAGGAATAATAATAACGGAAAGGGTGCCTTCCATGATCTCTTATGTAGTAGTTTTTAAATATTCTATTTGACCAAGGAACGTGTCCAACGGTCACAAGAAATTATTAGAAAGGGAAGTGATAAAACCACTATAATTTCCATATAATTGTTCGCCCAGAAAATGTAAATAAATCCATTAAAAAGTGGCAGAACTGCTAAAGCTGAGTAAAGCGACGGCATGTAAGATAAACACAAATCAGCAGTACTTCTGGAGAGTGGAATGAGCAAGAATAAAACACAGCAAAAAATTTCACTGTTTTAAAAGCAAACAAAAATGATCAGAATCGAATACACACACGTGAGGAATAACAATAGTGAGTAATTTATCTGAATATTACATGAAGAAAGGACAAGTCTTTATAACAGACCTTAAAGAAGACTTGAAACAATATAGAAAAATACCAACTACGTGAAAGAAAAGATTAAATGCATATGTACTTAATATTTATCATATTATATTCCTTGTAAATATAATTAAAAAATTAAATACAGGAAATGACGCAGGGGTGGCAGGTGGAGACAAAAGTTCCCAGTACATAGGAAAAATACACTTGGAAAAATGCCAAAGAAAATCCTGGAGGAAAAAAGGAGTAAAGAGGGAGAGAGAAGAATATTCTTTTCAGATATTAAAACATACTATATAAATCTTCTTTTTAAAAGTTTTATTTATTTTTGAGAGAGACAGAACATGAGCAGGGGAGGGGCAGAGAGAGAAAGGGAGACACAGAATCTGAAGCAGGCTCCAGGCTCTAAGCTGTCAGTGCAGAGCCCGACACGGGGCTCGAACTCATGAACCATGAGATCATGACCTGAGCCGAAGTCGGACGCTTAATCGACTGAGCCGCCCAGGCGCCGAGTTAAATATTTTTAGACCCAATAGAAACAAACGTGCAGGAAAAGGCAGAATTACATGCTTAACAAACTGTGAACAAAGGATAAGCCAAGCTTTGAAGCAATAAAAGAAACACTGACGAAAATGAGAGCAAATCTCCTGTAATTTGAAAAGGAAACAAGACCAAAATTAAAGGGCAAATGATAAATTAATAAATAGTTGTGGAAAAACTAAGAAAGATGCCTTCTCGCTACGCAAAGGGTTTATATGAACTGTAAGAGAAAAATTCAGACTATAAAATTAAAAAGGCAAATGACTTAAAGCAATAATTCACAAAGAAAAAGTGATTCATAAACAATCTACTAATAAAGCAAGAAATGCCTCTTATACTTGCAACAATTTGTGGCCCGTACCAAGTGCCTCGAAGCGATTTGACAATTTCATTTCTAGGTATCCGTTCTAAGAAATAATATTTAAAAAAGCAGGGCACAAAAGCGTTCATGGTAATACTGCAAAAGTGAAAGATAAATATTTAATAGCAGAGGATTGAATGACTGGATATTTTTCCATAATCATGAAGATTGTTTGTGATAGTTACGTAACGAGTGTAAATGCTTGTGTTGTACTTTCAAGTGAAAAATCCATGTGTTAAAGGTTGAATTGTGTCCTTCCAAAATTCATGTTAAGGCACTAACCACCACTAGTATCTCAGAATATGATCATATTTTAAAATATGGTCTCAAATACCGTCTGATCTGACCTATGTGAGTCCATGCCATGGTCATGAACAGTTACCCCAGTGTTTTCCTCAGGAGTTTTATGGCTGTAGCTCTTACATTCAGGTTGATCCATTTTGAATAAATTGTTTTATACAGCAAGAGCTAGGGATCCAAATTTCTTTGCGTGCAGAAATACAGTTGTCTTGGCACATAAATTGAATAGATTGAATAGATTTAGTACGATGTCAAAAAGCACATGGCCATAGATGCAGGAGTTCATTTCTCCGCTCTTCATGCTATTCCAGTGGCCTGTGTTTCTAGTCTTAGGCCAGTACCACACGCTTTTTGTTACTGTAACTTTGTAGTAAGTTCTGAAACCGGGAAGTTTGAGTTCTCTGATTCCATTTTTCTTTTTCATGATTGTTTGGCTACCTGGGGCCACCTGAAATTCTATATGAATTTTAGGATTCTATTTTCCATTTCTGCAGAAAGGGCTATTGGAACTTCACTAGCAACTGTAATGAACCTGTACATCGCTTTGGGTAACAATGACATCCAAACAATATTAAGTCATCCTATCCATAAATGTAGTATGTCTTTCCATTTACTATGTCTCCTTTAATATCTTTCAGCAATGTTTTGTAATTTTCAGTACACAAGTCTTTAACCTTCTTGGTCAAATTTATTCTAAGGAACTTTATTCTTTTAGCTGCTACTATAATTGAAATTGCTTTCACAATTTCCTTTGTGGATTGTTCATTGCTGACTTACAGGCACACAGCTAATTACTGAAGATTGGTTTTGCAACCCTGGGGTCATCTGTTGTCTACTAAGTCTTAAAAGTTTTGTCTATATTTTGCATGACAGTCTTTTGCAGAGCAGAAAATTTTAATTTCTTTTTTTTTTTTTATTTAGTTTTTTAAATGTTTATTTGTTTTGGAAAGAGAGAGAGAGACAGAGCCTGCTGCAGGGCTCGAACTCATGAGCTGTGAGATCATGACTTGAACCGAGGTCGGATCGGATGTTTACCCGACTGAGCCACCCAGGCACCCCAGAAATTTTTAATTTCAATTAAGTCTAGCGTATCAAGTCTTTATTTCACGGATTGTGTCTTTGGTGCTGTATGTAAGAAGTCACTGTCCTACCAAAGGTCATGTAGGTCTTCTCCTATGTTATCTTCCAGAAGTGTTTTAGTTTTAGGTTTTACATTTAGGTCTGCGATCCATTTCGAGTTGGTTTTTGTAAAGGTTGTAAGTTTCATTCATTCATTCATTCATTCATTCATTCATTCATTATGTGGATGTCTAGTTGTTCAGCACTATCCGCTGAAGAGACAATCTTTACTCCACTGTATTGCCCTTCCTCCTT